CAACATGGCACCTCATGGCAAAGAACTCTCTGATGATCTGAAAAAAAGAATTGTTGCTCTACATAAAGATGGCCTAGGCTATAAGAAGATTGCCAAGACCCTGAAACTGAGCTGCAACACGGTGGCCAAGACCATACAGCGGTTTAACAGGACAGGTTCCATTCAGTACAGGCCTCGTCATGGTCGACCAAAGGAGTTGAGTGCACGTGTTCAGCGTCATATCCAGAGGTTGTCTTTGGGAAATAGACGTATGAGTGCTGCCATCATTGCTGCAGAGGTTGAAGGGGTGGGGGTCAGCCTATCAGTGCTCAGACCATACGCCGCACACTGCATCAAATTGGTCTGCATGGCTGTCGTCCCAGAAGGAAGCCTCTTCTAAGGATGATGCACAAGAAAGCCCGCAAACAGTTTGCTGAAGAAAAGCAGACTAAGGACATGGACTACTGGAACCATGTCCTGTGGTCTGATGACACCAAGATAAACTTATTTGGTTCAGATGGTGTCAAGCGTGTGTGGTGGCAACCAGGTGAGGAGTACAAAGATAAGTGTGTCTTGCCTACAGTCAAGCATGGTGGTGGGAGTGTCATGGTCTGGGGTTGCATTAGTGCTGCCGTCACTGGGGAGCTACAGTTCATTGAGGGAACCATGAATGCCAAAATGTACTGTGACATACTGAAGCAGAGCATGATCCCCTCCCTTCGGAGACTGGGCCACGGGGCAGTATTCCAATATGATAGCGACCCCAAACACACCTACAAGATGACCACTGCCTTGCTAAAGAAGCTGAGGGTAAAGGTGATGGACTGGCCAAGCATATCTGCAGATCTAAACCCTATTGAGCATCTGTGGGGCATCCTCAAACGGAAGCTGGAGGAGGGCTAGGTCTCTAACATCCACCAGCTCCGTGATGTTGTCATGGAGGAGTGGAAGAGGACTCCAGTGGCAACCTGTGAAGCTCTGGTGAACTCCATGCCCAAGAGGGTTAAGGCAGTGCTGGAAAATAATGGTGGCCACACAAAATATTGACACTTTGGGCCCAATTTGGACATTTTCACTTAGCGATGTACTCACTTTTGTTGCCAGCAGTTTAGACATTACTGTCTGTGTGTTGAGTTATTTTGAGGGGACAGAAAATTCACACTGTTATACAAGCTGTACACTCACTACTTTACATTGTAGCAGAGTGTCATTTCTTCAGTGTTGTCATATGAAAAGATATAATAAAATATTTACAAAAATGTGAGGAGTGTACTCACTTCTGTGAGATACTGTATGTGTCCATGTACACATAGGCTTTTATCAGAGTTTAGCAGCTGCTGCAGTTAAGTGAGGCTAAACATCCCTCTCCTAAACGCAGAAGAATCGCATTCAGGATAGGAACATTTTGACCGCCGACTGCGGGAAAACGAAAAACAGCAACAAAATTGCGGTACTGCGTTTTGCCACGATTTGCGTTTTCCCGCGGCTGGCGGTCAGGGTAGGCTCATGTACATGGAGCCTTAGATCAAAAAAAGCATTGATCTAGTGCTTAAAAAAAAGGCCTTGTTTACAAGGTGCTGAAACCGGAAGTGACATAGTGACGTCGCTCCGGTCCTGCAAGGGCATAGAGATGAGTGGAGGCCATCTTTCCTTCACTTATCTCTATGCCCAGTGCCTGCGATCGTTCAATGGGTTCTCAGGTAAGCCTGAGAACCACCGAGTGGCGGTGGCGAGGTGTGGGGTTATTTTCAGCACCTGTATCTGTGCTTATTTTCACATCGGACAAAGGCCGATAGGGGTGTTTTCAGCCGAAACGTTTCGACCACTGAAATTTCGGTGCATCCCTAGCTTTTTGCCCATGTATGTCCAATTACATCAGTTTAGTGCACCTGAGAAGCACATAGTATACAATACTGCTGCGTTCAGACCAATAAAAAATGTGCACTGTACAGATCTGAACGCAGAGTTTTGTTTTTACACACCTGTGGATGAGCTCTATCTCTAAACACTGAATGCAGCTAAATGAAGGTAAAACACACAGCGGGAATTTCTTCATAAACAGCATTATATGCATATAGATGCATTTAGAAATGTACTATAATACAGTCGCAGGTTTGTCAGTGCCAATGTGGTCTATGGACAACTTTACTAAAGATATCCTAATAATATACCCCCACCCCCTTCCCTGAGTGTAGTTGGTCCAGATAAATATCCCCTGTCCTTGCTCATGACTACTTCACTTTGCAGTGCCATGTATCACCACTCAGCCTTTGCATCCTAAGAATCTCCAGTGAACCTAAGCCTCAGCGACAGCATACTCTGGCAGCACATATTTGATTATTTTTTTTTACAATTAGCTAGGCTTGCATACAGCAGCTGCACTCCAGTCTGAATCATTTCTGTTTGGAAAAAAATCATTTTCCAGGTAGGTTTATCAAAAACACATGATATTTCATCATGCAGTAACAGGCCTGCTTTGACCAGCAGATAAAAATTGGCCAGTGGTTCACCCAGGCTGTCCCTGTCCTACCACTGGTCAGTTTCTACCAAAGTCTCTTTAAGAAGTTGGGGATAGCAGATTATACAGAACTGTAAAATTGGCCAGCAGAAGGACCATTAGTTAGCAAAATTAGTCCCAATTATACTAGAGCCACAGGACACAGACAGGAGTTTTACTACAAGAATTAAACGGTTAAATTACCTTCACCAAGAAACTGTCTATGCAGGTAAGGAGTGTGTAGATAAAAACAAACTGCAGCTTTGACCAAAGTCAAGTAATGCCGTTGCTTGCTTTGCTTGCTAAAGGTGAAATAACCCTTTAAAGATTAAGTAAAGACGTAAAGCCTCTTTTAAAACAAGTAGGGTACCATCTATATATAGAACAAGCTGGATGCAATCTACACTATATTGCCAAAAGTATTGGGACGCCTGCCTTTACACGCATGTGAACTTTAATGGCATCCCAGTCTTAGTCCGTAGGGTTCAATATTGAGTTGGCCCCGCCCTTTGCAGCTATAACAGCTTCAACTCTTCTGGGAAGGCTGTCCACAAGGTTTAGGAGTGTGTCTATGGGAATACAGGGCACTTTTACCCCTTCCTTCCCAGGCCATTTTTCAGGTTTCAGCACTCTCACACTTTGAATGACAATTGCGCGGTCATACAACATTGTACCCAAACTAAAATTTTATCATTTTCTTCACACAACTAGAGCTTTTTTTTGGTGGTATTTAATCACCACTGGGGGTTTTTATTTTTTGCTAAATTAACAAAAAAAGATGTTTTTCTTTGTTTCTGTTATAAAAGTTGTTCTTCATACATTTAGGCCAAGATGTATTCTGCAAATTGTCTTTGGTGAAAATAATCCAAATCAGGATGTATTTTTTAGTTTGTAGGAAAGTTATAGAGTTCACAAACTATGGGATATATCTGAATATTGATCAATCCTGAAGTACTGACAGCCAATCTAATTTCTTGAGATCCAAGAATGTTAGAACAGTACAGATATCCTCCAAATGACCCCTTTTTGCAGAGTAGACAGTCCGACGTACTTCATAAGAGGCATGGCGAGTTTTTTGAAGTTGTATTTTTTTTGTCATAATTTTTCGGAAAATTAAAAAAAATTATTTTTACTATTTTTTTTTTACAGCGTCATCATATAACTGGCATAGCGGTGATCAGGGACACTGACTGGTGACAGTATGAAAAAATAAATATATTTTTTAAAAATTGTTTTAATTATTTTTAATTTTTTCATTACATTTGTATCTTTTTTTAAGATTTTTTTTCATATTTCACTATGACCAAAGTAGTACAATGTTACCATAGTAACATTGTACTACTTTGGGGAAGTGATCAGTATTTTTTTTTTTTTACACAATTTGCTTATAGCAAAGAATTACTTTGCTATAAGCAAGCATTTACCTGAATGACATTGATTTATTCAGGGGTTTTTTTTTTGTGCTTAGCTGTGATTTGGCCACGGCTAATCACATCACACAGCTGGGCTGTGATTGGCCCAGCTTGTGCATGTGATCGCTGTGACCATTCACAGCTAGACACATTAGTATACAATGGATGGCATGAATGAAGCCATTCATTGTTTACAACTGTCATGTGACCTGCTGTGTTTGGTCACAGCAGGTCACATGGTACCGGCAACAGGGTCAGTACTCAGATCTGTCATCGGCCGTGTCCGAGGTACACGGCCGGTGACAGATCACGCCGCTGTGCGGCTCTGCAGGCACGCAAACTGCGCATGCCCGAAAGAACGCTGGAAAGGTGAGGGTTTTTGCCGGCCGCCATTCGGCCATAGGCCGGGAGGGAAATGGTTAAGATACCAACGTAATACGTACACTATATTGCCAAAAAGTATTGGGAAGCCTGCCTTTACACACGCATGAATTTTAATGGAATCCCACCCTTTGCAGCATTAACAGCTTCATTCTTCTGGGAAGGCTGTGTACACGGTTTAGGAGTGTGTCTATGGGAATGTTTGACCATTCTTCCAGAAGCACATTTGTGAGGTCAGGCACTGATGTCAGACAAGAAGGCCTGACTCGCAGTCTCCGCTCTAATTCATCCCATAGGTGTTCTATCGGGTTGAGGTCAGGACTTTGTGCAACCAGTCAAGTTCCTCCACCCCAAACTCGCAGTCATGTTGGAACAGGAAGGGGTCATCCACAAAGTTGGGAGCATGAAATTGTCCAAAATGTCTTGGTATGCTGACGTCTTAAGAGTTCCCTTCACCAGAACTAAGGGGCCAAGCCCAACCCCTGAAATACAACCTCACACCATAATCACCCCTTCACCAAACTTTACACTTGGCATAATGCAGTCAGGCAAGTACCGTTCTCCTGGTAACAACCAAACCCAGACACGTCCATCGGATTGCCAGGCAGAAAAGCGTGATTCATCACTCCAGAGAACACGTCTCCGCTGCTCTAGAGTCCAGTGGCTTTACACCACTGCATCCAACGCTTTGTATTGCACTTGGTGATGTAAGGCTTAGATGCAGCTGCTCGGCCATGGAAATCCATTCCATGAAGCTCTCTCTGCACTGTTTTTGTGTTAATCTGAAGGCCAAACATAGTTTGGGAGTCTTTAGTTATTGACTCTGCAGACAGTTGGCAACTTCTGCGCACTGTGTGCTTCAGAATGCACTGACCCCGGTCTGTCATTTTACATGGCCTACCACTTCGTGGCCGAGTTGCTGTTGTTCCCAGTTGCTTCCATTTTGTTATAATACCACTAACAGTTGACTGTGGAATATTTAGTAGCAAGAAAATTTCACAGATGGACTTATTGCACAGGTGGCAACCTATCACGGTACCACGCTTGAATTCACTGAGCTCCTGACAGCGACCCATTCTTTCACAAATGTTTGTAGAAGCAGTCTGCATGCCTAGGTGCTTAATCTTATACACCTGCGGCCATGGAGGTGATTGGAACACCTGAATCCAATGATTTGGAGGAGTGTCCCAATACTTTTGGCAATATAGTGTATTTATAGAACAAGCAGGTACAATCTATTTATAGAACATGCAAGTGCAATCTATTTATAGAATAATTTGAATTCAATTTATTTATAAAACAAGCTGGGCTGAATTTATTTATAGAACAAGGAGGTGCAATCTATTTATAGCAAAAGTACATGCTATCTATGTATAGGATAATTTGGGTTCAGTCTATTTATAGAACAAGCAGGAGAAATCTATTTATAGAACAAGTTGGTTCAATCTATCTTTTAGAACAAGCAGTTGCAATCTATTTTATAGAACAAGCTGGGTTCAAACTATTTATAGAACAAGCAGGAGCAATCTATTTATAGAACAAGCAGGTGCAATCTATGTATAGCAAAAGCACATGCAATCTATTTAAAGAATAGGTTGAGTTCAATCTATTTACAGAACAACCAGGTGCAATCTATTTAAAGAACAAGCTAGGTTCGATCCATTTATAGAACAAGCAGGTGCAATCTATTTATAGAACTCTCAGATGCAGTATGTTTATAGAACAAGCAGGTGCAATCCAATTTAAGAACATGCTAGGTTCAATCTATTTATAGAATAAGTAGGTAAAATCTATTTATAGAACAATGTAAACAATAAAAATATGAGCGCTGGGTGACAACAAGGAAAAACACAGGCGAAATACAGGCGGGAGTAGCCAGCATAGAAGAGGAACAACCTCAGATCCTCCAAGAAATGCCAGAAATAAAAGTACAAATGTGGCGCTCTATAATATTTACAGTATGCAGGTGGTATCTCACAGTATTCAAACTTATTTGATATGATACATGCAGATTAATGTGACTGTTGTGACACAGTGAGCAATAATTAACTTTCGTAACTGCTGTGACTGTGGTACTAAATAATATTAACAGCAACAAAGCTTATTGGATATAGTTCATGCGGAGTGATGTGACTGTGGATACACAGTAAGCAAAGATTAATATTCGTGACTGCTGTAGCTAGAAGCAATGAGCATACTATGCACTGACTAGATAGTATCCCATAGTAACGTAAACTTGTAGGATATAGTTCATACGGAATAATGTGATTGTGGTGACACAAAGAACAGCGGATAACTTTCGTGACTGCTGTGGCTGGAAACAATGAGCATACTATGCACTAACCAGATAGCACAGATAAATGTGCGTTGGAGTATATAAGACCTACTCCTTGGTTCTCTGGGGGTGGGAACTCAGCATGCGGATGTGATCATCAGGTGGAGGTGCTTCACCAGCTGTCATCTATCCAAAGCAGGTTTCCACATCTCAGGTTAACCGTGTCCAGCAGTACAATTTCCAGCCATCAGGGGGATCATACAAGCAGATGGGAACCAGGAAAGGATCCTTCAGGATAAGGACTCTCAGTGCCAGATAAATGAGCCCAGAGAGAAAAGAAGTCCAATAGTGTAGTATGTTTAATGATCATATAAGTGTTACATCAAGGTACAGGTAAATTAACAGAGCCAGCACTTACATCTGAGGTAGTTTGTAGGTAATGTAGTTAGTATTCCATGAGAAAGGGTATCTCTCTAACGCGTTTCGTGTAATAACACATTTTCAAAATTGTTCCGCTGGCTCTCACGCAGCTGGAATGGAAGGTGATATCACAAAGACTCTAGAAGGTTGGAGCAGATCCCACTGGAGCGCACAGTATGGAAGCAGCGACGCAGCTGATTGACACAAGAGCACACAAATTGCATATGATTTGCACAGGAATGCGGTGCGGTTCCTGTGCGAATCACATGCGATATACTGCACCACATATATGTGAATCCAGGCTAAAGGAACACTTTTAAATCAGAGTATAGCCTCAAGTCAATTAAACTCCTGGGTTATTGATCTGGTCAGTTAAGTAGCAGAGGGGGTTGTTAATCAGTTTCAGCTGTTTTGGTGTTAATGAAAGTAACAACAGGTGCTCTAGATGGGCAACAATGAGATGACCCTTGATGGCTAGGGTCAATGTCACTACTGGTAGCATGAGGCGATACCTAGACCCTACAGAGGTTGTACAGGTAGTCCAACTCCTCCAGGATGGCATATCAATATGTGCCATTGCCAGAAGGTTTGCACAGTCTGAGGAGCATGGAGGAGATTCCAGGACACAAGCAGTTACTCTAGGAGAGCTGGACAGAGCCGTAAAAGGTCCTTAACCCCTCAGCAGGACTGGTATCTGCTCCTTTGTGCAAGGAGGAAACAGGATGAGCACTGCCAGAGCCCTACAAAATGATCTCCAGCAGGTCACTGGTGTGAATGTCTCTGACCAAATGATCAGAAACAGACTTCCTGAGTGTGGCCAGAGGGCCCAACGACCTCTCGTGGGCTCTGTGCTCACTGCTTGGCACCATAGAGCTCAATTGGCATTTGCCATTGAAAACCAGAATTGGCAGGTCTGCCACTGGCACCCTGTGCTTTTCACAGATGAGAGCAGGTTCACCCTGAGCACATGTGACAGATGTGAAAGGGTCTGGAGAAGCCATGGAGAACGTTATGTTGCCTGTAACATCGTTCAGCGTGACTGTTTTGGTGGGGGGTCAGTGATGGTGTGGGGAGGCATATCCATGGAGGGACACACAGACCTCTACAGGCTAGACAATGGCACCCTGACTGCCATTAGGTATCGGGATCAAATCCTTGGATTCATTGTCAGACCCTACGCTGGTGCAGTGGGTCCTGGGATTGCTCCTGGTGCATGACAATACCTGGCCTCATGTGGCGAGAGTATGCAGGCAGTTCCTGGAGGATGAAGGACTTGATACCTTTGAATGGCCCCCATGCTCATCTGACCTAAATCCAATAGAATACCTCTGGGACATTATGTGTCGGTCCATCTGACACCGCCAGGTTGCACCTCAGACAGTCCAGGAGCTCAGTGATGCCCTGCTCCAGATCTGGAAGGAAATACCTCAGGACACCATCCATCGTCTCATTAGGGCCATATAAACGACTGAGTAACATTCTGAATTGCTGCAATGAAATTTCAGCACAATGGACTAGCCTGCTGCATAATTTTTTCACTTTGATTTTCTGGGTGTCTTTAAATTCAGTCCTCTGTAGGTTGATAATTTTCATTTCCATCAAACGATGGGGCATCCTTATGTTCCTAACACATTACCCAGTCCATATCAGTATAGATATCCAGCATGAGATTTTTCCCCATTGAGATCTGATGTGTTTTCAAAGTGTTCCTTGGATTTTTGTTGAGCAATGTATTTATAGAACAAGTTGGGATCAATCTATTTATAAAACAAGTTGGGTTCAGTCTATTTACTGTATAGAAATAGCAAGTGCAATCTATTTATAGAACAGGCAAGTGTAATCTATTATAATCTATTATAGAACAAGCTGGGTTTTTAATCTAATTATAGAACAAGCTGGATTCAATCTATTTATTGAACAAGCAGGTGAAAACTATATACAGAACAAGGTGGGTTCAATCTATTTATGGAACAAGCAGGTGAAAACTATAGAACTAGCTGGATTCAATCTATTTATAGAACAAACAAGTGAAATTTAATAATAGAACAAGCAGGTACAATCAATTTTTAGTACCAGCTCTATTCAGTCTATTTATAGAACAAGCAGGTGTGGTCTACTTATAGCACAAACAGGTGAAATCTCTTTTTAGACCAAGCTGGGTGCAATCTATTTATAGAAAAAGTCAGGTTCAATCTATTTATAGAACAAGAAGGGGCAATCTGTTTATAGAACAAGCTAGGAGCAAACTAGAATAAACAGGGTGCAATCTATTTATAGAATAAGCCGTAGCAAATTATATATAGAACAGGTTGGATACAATCTATTTATAGAACATGAGAATATGCACTGTTTCTAGAACAAGCTTGGTGCAATGTATTTCTAGAACAATCAGGGTGCAATCTATTTACTAAACAAGCAGGTGCGATCTGTTTAAAGAACAAGCTAGGTGCAGTCTAAATATAGACCAAGCAGGGTGCAATCTATGTATAGATCAAACAGGGTGAAAGCAATTTATATAACAAGCAGTGCATTCTACTTATCATACAAGCAGGTGAAAACTATATGTAGAACAAGCTGTTTATAGAGATGGCATCATTCTGTCCTGCCTTGTTGCTACAATGTTGCTAATACACTCCCAGCAAATTCAAACATACTTTCATATGCTCTTTTTCACAGTAGCTCTGAGATCAGTGATGATGAGACGGAAAGATAGTGGTCCACACATCTGTGGGGATTTGAGAGCTCGCTCCTGTGATGATTGGAGCAGGGGTGGACTGACAACTCATGGGGCCCCCAGGCAATAGGGGATCATGGGGCCCCTGTGTCCTTGCCCAAATTCAAAAAAGCCTATGAAAAAGGTACCAGGGGCATCTTATGGGGCTCCCTGCTGACCCCGGGCCCTCGGGCAGTGTCTGAGTTTCCAAATGGTCAGTCCGCCCCTGGATTGGAGTGAGCAGTAACAGCTGGAGGTGTCTTAGCAATATCCTAGTAACAAGGCAGGACTGGAAGATGCCGCCTCCGCAAGTTTTTCTTTCATGCTTCCGGAGACATGTAAAAGGCCTACACCTATAGCCAAGGACATTATTCAACTTTACTCAAAGCTGAACAGTTTGTTTTTATCTACATACTCCCTTACCTTCATAAGCAGTTTTTTGGTAAAGGAGGACTAACCCTTTAAGATGATAAAGCATAGTAAAATTGGTCGGTGGTGGGACATTTTTGAAATTCTTTTATTTATGTATTTGTTTATATAGCCAGGGATTACACAATACAATGTATTAAAAAAGGTAAAGACAAATGGCATTAAATGGATCAAATTAAGGATGTACAAGGGTAAACTGTCAGCAGTATGTTACAAACAGGTACAGAGAACTACATAAAAGATCAGTATATATGTGTCTCCAGGCAGCCTAT